AAGCCTTTAAATTATGGAAAGGGGAGAATCCTTCCGGAGGCCAGTGCCGGGCCCCTGGTTGGATTTTTTGATATATATTCTCGATATGCTAACCGATGCCGACCGATATTTATTTTTTAAAAAATATATATTAATTTATGAAAGAATAACTATTTTATAATATTCTATTATTGTATTTAATTCATGCATATATTATTGGTGATCTTATCCCCCTTTAGAATTCTTGATTTAAATAATGTTAAAGGATATGCGTATTTTGATTATTAAATATCATTTTATATTTATATGGACGGATTTAATCTTTTGAGATAAAAATAGATATTTAATTCGATATATTTAGGATACATAAATATATTAATTAGAAATATATTTTAAGAATCTAAAATCAATCAATCTATTTCTTATTATTTATCAATAGAATGAATATAATTATATCTAGGCATAATGTTATTAATAAATTTCAAATAATCATGATAATGATAAATATATTCATTATGGCAAAAATAGAAAAATATACGTATCATGGATGCGTCGACCTTATGCGGTTAATCGCGGGATTTCTGTAGGAAGAAATATGCGAGATAATATAGGAGGGATATGAAATCAACAATCATAGCTTAACAGATATACGAGATCGCGATGAAGAAATCATAGAGATCAGGCAATGAAAAAAATACTTAAAGACGGGCATGGTCGAAATAACACTATAAATATAGATATTAAAGGAAATTAAGAAAATATCGAATATATATGTAATTAATACCGAAATTTTGATTATCTTGCAAATTCCGATAAAATCATTGCGATCTTGAGGAGCCCGTATAGGCAATTCCTCATCTTTATCAAATATATAGGACCTATTTGAGGTCTTACGGATCTGTTCGGAGGCAAATTTTCTTCCTTGGCGGTCTACCAAATAATCGATTCCCAAGATTCCGTAGGCCGCCGACACTTACTATTATAGAGATCCTCGTTCTTGATCCGGCGGATTTTCTTACATCTTCCAAGATTCAATTGATATAGGTTGACCTATTCAGATTCATAATTCATATATTGGAAAATCAATTAATCCAAAATATGAATTAGAATAGAAAAATCGATTGAAACAAATTATGCACCTGCAAAGCTAAAGGAGATTGCGCACGACGATTATATCAAATTCCGGAATAATTTCCTATCAAATATATTCAATTAATCCTTCTGACTTATAATGCATAGGTATCTTTGGGAAAAAAAACGATTGCAAAAATATCGAGGTGGCTAATCGCCGACCACACGAATATCCCAAAAAAACCTTCCCGGCCCGAGGAAACCCCGGGAAAATATCGATATAAATATACGTCCAACCAATCGGCCCTTAGATCAAAACAATGCGATGGGCCGATTCCAATTCCATGATTCCCCGAGATTGAGCGGAAAATAGACCTCCGACAGAATCTGACAGCGTACAAGGAAGATTCCCAACAACAAAAATTGGGATATTATGAATTCATTCTCGGAAAGACCTGGTCTGCAAATCGAAAAAAAAAGGGATATCGTCCGGATACCAATGATATAATTATCATTGAAATATTCCGAAAAGAAATTATATATTTTCTTATGGTGTGGGGCTTCTACATTGGGTCTATCCCTATGCGGGAGCCTATGCCTAGATTCCCCTTTCAAGCAAATATTTGCGCGAGAGGTTCTCTTCATTAGGGGTCTATATGGGATGCCTATGCAGGATATTCTCATCAATTCTATTTATATCAGATAATTCGAAAAGAATTAATATTCCGCAAGTAATGGCCCGATGCGATCGGATCATATCAGATTCCTATTTATAAAACCAAATAAATTTTGTATCAAGCCAAGAAGCAATAATAGCACACAAACAAGACGCAACAAGCAACAGAACATAAGAGGCGGCAACAACAACAGAAGCAACAATAATAGCAAACAAGCAACAACCAAGCAATAACAACAACCAATAGCTTCTTGCCTACGCGATGCTTCCGCGGCGGGACCTATTCAAAAATAGATTTACTATTGTTTTTCAAAAGACGATTGTACTTATATAATATAAGCTCTCGGGCAGTGCAGAATTCAATCTACTCCATCGATTATGGTATCAATAGGACATATATATGGGGATCAATCGCCGGGATATCAAATTAAATATATATATATATAGTTAAATTTTTGATCTCAAAACAAACCCTTTTTAAATCTATTCCTAAACCGTCATTTTGTATGTCATGAAGCTACGTTTGCAAAGGTAATATCCTGCATAGGCCAATGATTCATTCGGATAACGCGCGGTGATGCGAATAGATTGCTACACGTGGCTCTACGGAGAGATTGCATTACGACGATATTCATTTATTGACAGGAAATTAATAGGGGATAATAAATGTTTGCATAAACACAATGCGTAATTGTTCGCATACGTGCCAATTGCGATCCTGCCAATTACGGTCCCAGAGCTAAATGTATTAAATCAAGATTACAGCCCTATATGCGTTGCGGCTAGCATTGCGAAATATAGATATCGTAAAGACAAGACATAATGTGCGATTCCAACAATATGACGTTATCATAATAAGGTAAAAAACCAAAATGAATAATATTTTGCAAAGAAGCAATATTAAATCGATATAATCTAAAAATATAATCCTATTATATATATATATTAGGTATCGAAACCGATATTCATAATTATATTTTGTAAATTCATTACAAACATCACATTATAAAAAAGCAATATTATATATATAAAACAATTTCATAATCCGGATTATATCGTTTTAATTATTAATATACATATTCATCTTATATATATTAATAGATCGAATATATCAATAATAATATTGCAAAGAAAATATTCAAAATAAATAATATAAAAATACATTAAAAAATGACCAAACACATAAATAAAAGGTATTATTTTACATATCTTTAGTTCCGAATAATTTTTCAAATTAAGCTCTTTATTTGCCAAAAATAAATATATTAAAATATTAGATTAATATATTCCAATAGGGTAGAAATAATTCCAATTATTCAAATTCGAATTTCCGATATTTATTTTATCATCAAATCTATCATTTATTCCAATATATATTTTGATATATATTATTAATATCTAATTTGGTATTCTAGATGGATATATAATTCCCCAATAGCCATGTTATGGTGTCCCGGTCATGTTTTGATGGTGTCCCGGTCATGTTGTGATGGTGTCCCGGTCATGTTTTGATGGTGTCCCGGTCGTGTTGTGACGGTGTCCCGGTCATGTTTTGATGGTGTCCCGATCATGTGATGGTGGCGCGGTCATGTTGTGATGGTGTCCCGATCACGTTTTAATTATGTCCCAGTCATGTTGTGATGGTGTCCCGGTCCTGTTTTGATGGTGTCCCGGTCATGTTTTGATGGTGTCCCGGTCATGTTGTGATGGTGTCCTGGTCATGTTTTGATGGTGTCCCGGTCATGTTTTGATGGTGTCCCGGTCGTGTTGTGACAGTGTCCCGGTCATGTTTTGATGGTGTCCCGGTCCTGTTGTGATGGTGTCCTGGTCATGTTTTGGCGGTGTGCCGGTAATGTTTTGATGGTGTCCGGACGGTGTCCCAGTCATGTTGTGATGGTGTCCTGGTCATCTTGTGATGGTTTTCCCGTCATGTCATGTTGGTGTCCCGGTCACCTTGTGATGGTGTCCCGGTCATGTTGTGATTGTGTCCCAGTCATGTTGTGACGGTGTCCCAGTCATGTTGTGATGGTGTCTCGCTCATGTCATGCTGGTGTCCCGGTCACCTTGTGATGGTGTCCCGGTCATGTTGTGATGGTGTCCTGGTGATGTTTTGGCGGTGTCTCGGTCATGTTTAAGTTTTGATGGTGCCCTGGTCATTTTGTGATGGTGTCCCGGTTATGTGATGATGGTGTCCAAGGAAGAGATGGTCGATGTGTTGAAAACAGCAGCTGTTTCCAGATTTTTCTTTTTGTCCCGGTTTGTATCTTGCTATTGGGGTCTCCAGCTGGGCTAATTCCTATATTCTGATTGATATATTTGATATCCTTTTTTGCATCCAACCTGGCACCTTTCCAGCATCCTATGTGGTGTGCATGGTGTACCTCTTGACATCCTTTCTGCCATGTCTTGTGGCACTCCAGCTGGCAGATCTTCTGGCATCTTTTCTTGCATTCTATCTTATCTTATCTGGCAGATCTTGTGGCGTTCCAGCTGGCATACCTTCTGACTTCCTCTCTGGCATTCTATCTGGCATATCTTCTAGCATTTTCTGTTGCTAATCTTTTGATATCTTTTCTGACATATCTTCTGACATGTCTTCTGGCATTCTACCTGAATAGCTTCTGACACTCTTTCTAGTACTATCTTCTGGCATGTATTCTGACATTCTGTATGTCTTTTGCGAGACCTGGAGCTTCCATAGTGTGCAGGTTGCAGGTCGGCGTGCCCAGCTTCAGTTGGCACTCGCTGTGACATGAGAATGAGGGATGAGGATGAGGCGGAGTAGGAGTGCACCTTTAATTTAAAAAATCAACTTAAGACCCTCACCTGGCAGGTGGGGAAGTATATTGATTCATAGGTATCCCCCCCACAAAATGTCTTGTTGTTTAATATATGTTTAATATGTTAAAATTTGTTTTGTTCAGGATTCAGGGCGTTTGATTCAATGGTCTGGGACAGATACGATACATGCGGGAGTGTAATTGAATTGCTTATATAGGTGGGGTCCAGCGAAAACAGCCCGCCCATCAAAGGCACAATCATACAAAGGACTTGTCGAAGAACGCACCTTGAGGTTCCTATAATAGGAGCCAAATACATAGGCAGCTTGGTCCCATACACTGCCTTTGCCTCGGAAGTCCCAAACAACAGTAGACATCTTTGCATGTGTCATCTGATCATAGAAACGGATGAAATATCAACAAAAACAAAACTATGATTTGTTCTTCCTTCCCCCCCAATCTCTATAGTCTTTTGATGTGTTTTGTCTTTCTTTTCAAGTCATCCGTTCGTCGGTCTTCTCTGCAGGCAAGTGACATTCGGCTGGGATTTGGCCACAGTCGAAGATGCCCTTGCCTTGGGCGAAAGCCGAACTTAAGGACCCTTGAACAGATTCTCTGACACATCCTCCCTCACTGTCACAGAACAAAGATGCGTAAAGAGTCCCAGGTCCCTATCCTTTAGTGAAAGGGATTCCCCCCATTGGGCCAAAGAAAACACCATCCCAAACCTATCGCCAGGTGGCTACATACCAAGCCAATGGCGGCTCCCACATCTCGTGCTTTAGCCTCACGATCCGGGACACAGGCGGCAGTCTCCCAGGAGCCCCAAGGCGGATGCGCCGCCAGGGTGTCTTGGAGCATCTTGAAGGATCCCTCCAAGGCCTGGGCAGCGACAAGTCCATTTTTTGCGTTCAGATGAGCGGTGGTCTATCGACGTCTATTCTCTGGCTTACGCCACATGGCCTTATGTCGCAGCCTTAACACAAAATGTAAAGGGAGGTTTTGAACGCTGCTCAAATGCTTTCAGGCTTCAGCGGCTTATACAAGCTAACAGCTTCGGCAATCGCCAGTCGACGGATAAAACGGAAAGTATCCATTGAGATGCTACCCTGTTGTTGTTTCTTGTTAGAGTCCTCGATACATGTAACAATTTTATGGGAGATATTTATTTAGGTTCCCTTGGAAACCGGTGCATGATGATCTTTAGTGGGCCTGTTGCCGACATAGTAGGGTCAAAGTGAAGCTAGATTTCGCAAACTTCACCAACTGTTACAGGCAAGAGTTGATGGGAAAGGGCAAATCCCACATCCACGGCTGCTGCCAAGCCACCAGTGTCTCAGTCACAAAGGATTCAGGGACATTGGTTTCCAACTTGCCACCTCACATTGTCAGGAACCAAACACAGCAATTGGTACCTGCGTGGATGGGAATCCCCAACTGTGTGAGTTGCCGCAAAGAGTCGTAGTCAGCTGAAAGTAGGGGATCCACGCAGTCAGCTTCTGCCTATTTTTCTGGCACCAACCCAGTTATGCTCCCCACCCAAGTGAACCAATCCAAATCCCGTTCCAGTACGGCATCCAACAAACAGCCTCGTCCCATCCCAGCTGTGCGGAACTCTGAAAAAGAGATCCTGTTTTGTTTTGTGACTCACGGTCTGACCGCGTCCGTGAGTACGGAACATGACCGTTCCGGGGATGGTGTGTTTCCTGTTCGTGTGTGTAGACGGACGTATGTGAACCGATGCCCACCTGTATGTTCAAGTGCTCGTGTGATGAAGACCTTCATGGCCACGGGATCTCGATTGCTCCAGACCAGATGAAAGCCATGCTGGCTGATATGGACTTTATTGGGATCGGTCCAGCCCAATGGCACAATGCAATCCTTCTTCACAGGCATCTTCTTCCAAATGCTGGAGCGCACAAACTGCGCGGCCCCGTCCAGGTAGCAATGCTGTAGTGGCTTAGGGGTGAAGTCCTGCCACAAGCAGGAACGAATCCACCAATGTCTCTCTCTAGCTCCCAACAATTGAAGAGATCCAAAAATGCATGCAAACCGCTAGCCCTCGGGGTGCGCTTGGGCCGAAAACTCACCTCAATTAAGTGACCAGAATCCGGTTTGTCTCTTTCTTTTGCACCTTTTCCCGGAAAAAACAATATCTGTCTTTATCAACCAACCAACAGGCTCAACGTCATCGCCGCGCGCTTGCTCGCGCGCCGCTCGCGAGCCGCTCGCGCGCAAGACCACGCCTGCGAATAGACCACCTCACGGAAATGAGTCCCAAAGACCCAGGAAGCGGTGTCCCACAGGTCTTCACAGGACTCGGGCACTTTGGAACAATCCACATATCCTGATGCCAGTGTGGCATGAAGGACAGGACGGAGGATGGAGGATGTCGAGCGAGTTCGCACAGCGGACGAGGTCTGTATAGGCTAACAGAAGACATTTAAGGAAGCTGCAATCAAAAAGGACATGATAGGGGAAGAAAAACCATATAACATACCATGTGTTGTTTTTATAGGAATTATATAGGCGGGGACTAAAATCGAACACATATTCTCTAATTTCGGGGATTCCCTCATACTTCGGGAAAAGGAACAATCGCCAAAACCAGGTCTCCCAGGCCACAAATGTAGGCCAACTTCCCTGCCACCGTGGAGTTGGTTGCCTCCACATCCACCATACATGAGGCGAAGACATCCCAACGAGCCCACTCAGGATGAGACACCAGCATGGCTTCTAAGTCTCGGTAACGAGCAAAGGGGTTCATGAACATCTCTGCAATCTCTGCCGGGACCACGTAGGGAACAAAGCCTCCGAGTTTGGTGACCACGCGTTTGATGAAGATTTGCATGGCCGTGACGTTCTTGAGGCCCACCATCTGCAGAAAGCCATGTTTGCTAACCAAGACCTTGTCAGGATCTGGTAGACATAGCTTGCTCATGTTGACTCCAGGACCTTTATAGGCCTTCGTCAACTCTTCGATGATTGTGGTGTCGTGGTCAAACACGGGGCTCAAACAGGGCACGTGCAGCTCGGAAGTCTCTTTGAACTTCACCACCTGAATATGCACGGAAGATATGGATTCCAAAACAAATCAGCCGGGATTGTATGATTTTGCATCACTGGTGCGTAGGGCGTAGGGAACATGGGACAACTAGACTTTTTTCTCAAGGGGTGTGCTCTGTTCACCCGCTTCGGGCCTTTCTAACACCTCGAGATTGGGTCTCCAAGTGGGTCATACCCAAAAGGAAAAGGGATGAAACGAGTCGTCGTGAGATCTGGACCATAAACCTCGCCTGCGAACGTGCGCTGTCGTGCTCGTCGTGGCCCTGGGGGTCAAACATGCCCCAGATCAAATGACCCGCCTCAGGGCGCGCGGAGGGCGCCGCTTTTCGCGTGTTTCGCGCGGAGGGCGTGTGGCGCACAAAGCTGAGGGCCTGATTTGAAGGATTCGTCACTGGATTCATGTACAGCTTGATCGATTTACAGCACCGCGAAAAGGAGGTTCTTCAATGTTGTGGTGACAATCCCGTATAAGAACGCATGGTGCACCGGCCAAGATCGAAGCGGCTACCTAGAGCGCAAACATGAGTCATCATGAGATCCACGTCCGGCCTGGTCGTAACGATTTTGGAATTCAAAGAAGCTGATGCCCAACAAAAGCGAGGAGTGTCTGGCAACTCGCAGGATCTGCTTCAGGTCCTCTGCCGTACTGAGGCTCTAGAACGGTCGAAGCATGTGGAAGCAACATATTCATTCCAACTACAGTGTTGATTCCAACATATTCATTAAACCGCTTGTTCTTACTTGGCCTGTTCTTCTATCACCAACAAAACTGCAAACAAAACACTTGCAAACAAAACTGCAGCTCCTTCTTCAAATGTGGATTGCCTGGGTTGTGATACTCTGCCACAAAGATCGGAGTACTTGGGAAGGCGACCTCATAGTGATCCAAGAAGAGGCTCTGGATCTCGTCGGAAGGGTTTCCGGAGTTAAAGCTGAAGGTGAAACGAGTCTCGAAAAACGCGGTCAAATTCCTCTTTGGCTCCACGCCATACTTCTCAGGATTCAACAATGCATCCTTCAAAGTCCAAAGTTGTCCCAGCCCGGGCCGGTCCCGGAAGTTGTCGCACTGGTTACAAAAGGCAAAGGAGAAGGTCACGGTGAGATTGGGCTTGGGACCCTCGACACCAAGCTCCTCTTTGCGAAAACAGACACGGAAAAGGCACCTCCTAAGATCCTGGTATCATATCCTTTTGGTACTTCAAATCATGCGCAGCCATTTTCAGTTTTGAGTGCCTCAAGACACAGCAACCTTCCACATAACCTTTGAAGATCTCAGGGGATATCCGTCGGGCTGGTTCTAGATTTTAAACAAACGAAACAGACCCTCGAAGTAGCCCTGCTACGCAGGTTCCTACCGATGTGCCTTGTGGTTGAGTCCAACAAAAAGGAATTAATACTTTACACCTGCTTGTACTGCTTTTGCTCTTTTTGCTTTATAAATAGATTTATATATGTAATATAGTTGTATATATATATAATACTTTAAATGTAAATAACTTCCCCAAACCACAAAATGTATTGGACATTGTTCTCTGAGGCCTTGGCAAACAAATGAACTAACAATCAAACAAATGACCTGTCTGCAAGACCGAAACTCACATCCGGACTTGAGAAAGCTCTTCCAACTGGCCAAATCGGATTCTGCCGGAGTGAGGCCAAAACGGGCGGGTTCCGTCCCGCTGCACACGCCGCGTCGCCCCGCTCCTCCTCCGCATCTAAGACCCCATCGATCGCGCTGACAATGGCCTTCGCGAACTTCTTCGGTTCGCCCAGGCTCGGCAGTTTCAACTCGGGTTCATTGACCACGATGAAGTACTTGATGGATGGATGATAGGCCTTTCCTCATGTTGACACATCGTTCGGGGGGTCCGAGAGCAAAAATGGCTTGGAAGAAGAACGACCCACCACACTCACTTCCAAAGTTCATGAGACGTTCAAAAACATGGTAGCATCGAGTCCCCGAATCAAGTCACACCTCAATTGCCAATAAAAATAGATGGATGACCGCTGTCCTCTCCAACACGGCGCTTTTTCAGGTTCCATGCGTTCTATACAGACCTCTGCCAGGGTGTTTCATCAATCTTTTGGCAAAGTCACCCACGAGGAAGCCCTTCTGAAGATTCTGTAGGTAGGCCTCCTTGGCTCCTGGACTTTGCATTTGCTCATGGTGTGCTTTCCTGCCAATAACCACCCAACTAGCAGTTCGCAACTCCTTGGAACATGTCGTCACAGAATCAATATCCATCGCATTAACACGTTGTGTCCGTCTTCCCTTTAGAATTTGGTTTGGAATTGTCTCGTTGACGCAGGCTTGGAGTAAGAAGAACTGCTATGCACAGCCAGGTCCTTGGAAGCAAGAGAAGTTTCCAATGCCTTTGCATTGCTGGAATGCTCGATCCCCCATCCTCAGAACAAATGCGATTGGAACCAACACCGATGGAATGCACTGCGGTGCTGCAAAGCAAAAGCTGCCGTGATGAACGACATGAAATTGCATGTCTCTCTTCCTCATCCAATGACATTCAAAGAACGATAACTATAAGTGCTAATTATATCCGTTCAATTACAACGATCGAACACCTTGTTTCATTTTTTTCTCATCACTGCCATGCATCCCTGGTATCACCTCCAGGTTCAGGGATTGCGCATGATCCAAGAACTTCTGATGTTCCAAGGTGGGGTCATTCCCGTAGAGTCGCACCACGTTGGCGCCTAAGCTGGCGATGATCTCCAAATCCCCACGGCCGCCCCAGATCGGCTCGGCCGCGTCGCAAAAGTAGTCCTGATGATGGGCCTCGCCTCGGGTAAAGCGTCCGAGCGCTTGTGCTGTGCTGAAGGCGCTTTTGTCCTCTAGGAAAGCCGTGCTCAGCATCTCAGCGGATTAAGGGGAAAAAAGGATTGATAATGATTGATCGGTTATAGGAAGTCTTTTAAACATCTATATAGCCCAAACATGGTTTTTTTTGATGTGTGTGCGTGTTTTGTTTTTGCTCTTTTTATAAAGAGTGATCGTTGCATCCTGTTTTTTGAGGAGTCCTCATGCCGTGGAGGAGGGTGGCTTTTCGCGGAACCAACACACTCAACAGTTCCTCATCTCGAATGACCGGAACCAATCCCACGAGTTCTGCGACTGAATGGACCTTAAAATGACTTGAAGAAGGACCAAAGGTCTCCAATGATATCAAAGCCTTTGGCACCTGACAACATACTCTACGGCCCTATGCGTAAGACGTAATTGCGAACACAAGTCAAACCACAGCACCTTCAACATGGCTAATCATTATGTACTGGACCCAACATCCATGCGAGAGGGCCACCGGAACACTGGGTGTGTATGCGTGGAGAACAGTCAGAACAAAAAGCATCGAACCGAAAGCAGGGAAAACATGCCTTGGGTGACTTCCTGCATCTCTGCTATCTCATGTATAGGATTCCGACGATGTTTCATATGATTCATAATACAAGTGGGTATGGCGGATAGAACGCGACTATAGTGGAAGAAATCCTTACACATGACACATGACCCCCCCAAATTCTGGACACTTAGTTCAAGGCGTTCACGTTTTGCTATGCGTTGTCCCAAACAGCAGCAAAGCTCCAAGAAGAGTTCGACCAAGTCGCTGGGAGAAGTGCTCATGGAGGGTCCATAACTCACGCCCTTCATCAGCTCAGGCTTTCGCGTCTCGCCCGTTCGCGTCTCGGTGTCACTCGTGAGATCTCCTCCGTTCTCACCATCGATCGTGTCATCCTTCGCCAAGATGAAACGACCCTTCGATTGGAGCAAATGAAGGCCCTTCTCCTCAGTGTCTTGCGGCTTGATCGATCGGTCGAATGAAGGCCCTTCTGATCCTGTCTCCCCAAGCGTTCCCTGCCAAATCCCAAGCAGATCCTGGATCTGGAATCCCATGTTAAATTGTTTGTGCCTTAGGGGATGTCTAAGGCGACCCAACCAGGGCATCGTTCAAACGCCAGGGCACAGGGCAGTCCTCGGTCAAGGCTGAAACGCGAACGGTGAGGACTGTGATCAAAACCGCCTTGGCCCAAGTGCCCATCCGTCGAAACGTCTGTTCAAGTCTACACCATGGAGTAAAACATATTGCTTCGGACCGAAGCTGCGGCGATCCATTGAAGTGTGAAGGACCGATCCATGGCGCCTTCAAAAGGACGCTCCATGATGTCCCACTGTGGTACGGCACGATGGCATTCAACATGTCCGACAAGTTCCCAAACTGTCCCATCATCCATCCTTTGCGTGCAGCTGCAGTGTCTCCCTTTTTCCCATCCGGTGCTGGCAACGCACGGTTTTTGGGAACAAACGCCCAGCACTACACAGATTTTCGGGCACATTGCAAGCCCGCCATTGACCTGCACCACGATGTGCCCGGCCATAGGCTGACAAAAGCACAGAACAGCCAAGAGGAAGGCACATGTTTCACAGAATCATCACACTTTTCTGGAGCAACAGTACCTAGGAATGATGAATCATACATTGGAGACCATGAGCTTTGGTTTTCGGGTGAGATGCCGTGCTTGGCATGAAGCGATTGAGACCCTCGATGTTTTTTCGGTCGAGGTCTTGAAGGTCGAATTTCAGTCACGGAGGTCGATCTCGGTCAGCTCGTGTCCTCTGCCTTTGGCCTCGCATCGGTCGTTGGATCAGGATCGGAGGGGCTATAGTATTGGGAGACCACGGGTGGAGCACCGTTTGTGTGAAAGAAAGTGAAGCCACGATAACATCGTTATATCAACATGTTAAACATGTGTATTTTTTGTGCTTCATGAAGGCGAGAACTGAATGAGACTGAGTCGTGAGAACAGCGAAAGACGCTAGAAAAAACGCTCGCAATGAGACGTTTCCGAAGCTCAGCAGGTGGCGGGTGGACGCTGGTCGAGTTACCATCTTGGGATCTCTTGGAAACTGTTAACCCATTGGACCCTATTGGGGTTGGTCCGCGACCCAAACTACCGGACGTGGTCTAGGAACCCCCGTCGTTTTTAAGGGAGTCTCTCCCAGATCCAGCACGCTTCGCACTAGAAAGCGCCCCAAGGACGCTCCAGGTAGCTAGGAACAAGAAGCTATTAGCTTATTGTTTCTAATAGCTTCTTGTTACTACTAGTAAGGCACCTGTTACTACTAGCGTGGCACCTTGTTACTAAGTTCGCTTCTTTGTTACGGGACGAAGGAATTCTCGTCCTTTTCCGCTTCATCCCGCTTCATCCGTTCGCCCACAAACCGCCTTCTCCCCAGCTTCGTGTCGGAACGTGGCAACGTGGACACCCGACCGTCTCGACGGATCAGGCACACCGCTACCCTCGAAGGAATGAATGTCTTCGCTGAAACTGTGGAGTACCATATGTAGAATCCATATATACCTAGCACTTCCAACGGGTGCCCAATGGAGACCTGTAAGTAGGGTGGGGTAGTCTATTGGACACCAATTGGATGACCCTGGTAAATAACTATATATATATATATCACTATATTATATCCATATCATATCCATCGGCTAGGATGAATCATGACGAATCCATTCAAAAATTCTTCAACTATATAGATGATCAGATAGCTCTCTTCGGACTTCAATCTCATCGATCCCCATTCTCCTGCACCGACGCCCGGCTCGGCACCTTCGAGCAGACAAGGTCGTCGACAAGGCACTCGGCCGAGCGCAGTGCCTGGCGGCCAACCGGGTCTGACCTTGCCGCCAGCTCTGAAAATTGGTAGGAATAGACTCAAACACAGCCAGGTATAGCGTTTTTTGCTTTAATCTTTTAGTTTTTCTGACCTGATATGCTTTTTGAAATCCGTAAGCTTACTAGATGAATAGATTCCATGATTGATGGATGACATTTGGATTGAAAAAGGAAGATACTGGTTGGAGTTCCTGTCCTCTTGGTGAGTAGTTGTGGACAAAAATCAGTGCCTTGAAGCTGGTGTCCTGTGAAAATGGGTCCTTCTCAAGGAGAGGCCGTTATAGTCATAGTCATAGTGATTATTCCACTCTACAAACGGCTATGGAAGGCCAAGAAGAGACCGATAAATTTTTGCTGATCTCAGCTCTCTTCTACAGTGGAACTTTCTATGTTTGAATGAGCGTGATACGATTTGATTGTAGGCTCAAGATTTGCACCCCCCACGAAGGAATCCTGTAAAACCTGGGCATTTCCCCTTATTCAGCTGCTGAACCACTAGGAGCAAGGACGCTACTAGGGGCTCCTGGCATCGCTACTCACGGCCACCCATTCGGAACAGCTTCGCCCGTCGCACCTCTCCGACTCCACCGTGTCCGATCCTCGGTGACCGCGGGGTGCGGTAAGGGCCGCGGGCGGCGGTGGACGGCGCTTGGTGAAACACAGAAACTCATCCGATTCAAGTGATCATTGAACTCATATTGAATTCATATTGCTTTCATTTGCTTTCTAGTTATAGAACATGAGGTATGCCGATGGAACAGAACCACATCTCACAACTGTTGTACAATTGCCGACTGATAGAGATATATCACATGTGGATACATGCGTCTGATCTCTCTTGGAAACGAGACGCTGATCTCTTCAGATTTCCCACTCAATGCCCAACGTGCAGCAGCCAAGATGATCTGGACGGGTGTCTTCGGAGCACAAGCACTATTGGGGACTTGCCCTTTCTGCAATAACTACACTAATTACTGTAAAATACATGGCCTTAGAGTCAATCACACGAACAAATCAAGTTTGAACTTCATTTGACAACCACTAAGTCAGTACTATGCCAGGATCACACGACATCTTCCTCTGCCGTCTCATACGACGTCCGCTGTGGCTTTTGGACAAGAAAACACCGCGGGAGGTGCCTGCACGGCGTCTGGCACGGTATGGAAGATGAGCAAATACACCCAAACCTCGTCCCAGAAGCGGTTTTTGCCAAGAAACACGTCGGTGGTTTGGGTCGACGTCTATCTAGACAGAGTCGAGTCTAGACCGATCCTGATGGGAAATTGGAGGTTCTATATCTTGCAAAGGCTTTAAGATATTGCACAAATTTAACGATTAAATCACGATGAAGAAGCAGAATCCTTGTTCCGCCACCAGCTTTTGCAAACATCCATCCGTCATTCACCAGTAGTCTTAGTCAAACAAATCTCGTTCTAACTCCGGAGCCACCCGTTTTCGGTTCAAACTGCTGCAGCTGAGGTTGCAGCTGCTGCAGCAATACACACAAAAAGGTGTCTGGCGTTGGATTCGCAACTGGATAGTAACTCGAAAGTGGATTCGAACGTGGGACGGGTCATCCGCCACTTTGGGCAAATGACTGCGCAATACACTTGCTATCAAGATTATCAAGGAACTCACTCTACTTCCTTTGGCTCGCCACAACAATCAAAACAACAACGCATTGGTTTGGAGGGCCACTCTTGGTCGGACACCAAACATGCCGGCAAAACGTGTTGGACGACAAATGTCGATGCTTTTGAAGTGCATATGGAAAGACCATCGCAGAACCTTTTTTGGAGCAGAGCAACGCGGCAACACACACGACAAAACGCTTTAAGAGTTGAAGCCTCCATTGCTGGAAATGGGTGTGCGGATTGATTTATTAGGAAGAACACGACGCTGTGAGGGAAAAATAAAGTGCACGCGATTGAGACTCTGTTGGTTGGGAGACAAATACTGCTCCATTCAAGGCTCAGCTAGCTCGCCCGGCAGGATGTTCACAGGTCGCTGGCGGGAGCTACTCACACGTTTTAGTTAGTATCAGTGATGTTGTCAGGCATGAACAACCACATCATGCCTGCCATTGCAAGGAAGCTAGCGCATCTGGTCCACACTTGCCAAGCCTCGCAGAAAAAAATGGTGCTGTTGAAAGTGCGCGCTCTGCACGTCGTCTTTGACACCTTAAACCTGACATCAACCTTGTTCCATAGTGTTTGCCAATGTTGTCATATATGTCGTTTGAGGTATAATAGAGGTTCACTTGGGGGTATCCCCTCTATTCAACCAACCACTTATATGGTGTTCGTATGGAAACTTGGCCCAGCCCAGTTGCTCTTACGTCCCTTCCACCAACAGTGAAACAAACATCATCACCCCATCACTGCGAGGGAGAAAAGCGTGCACAGGGTGCCCGTTGCATGGGCTGGTTTCAGTGCCTGCAGGTCAGAATCACGCTCCATTTGGGCTGTCTTGACCTGGCAGCTTGTGAGATCGGTTCCGGATGGTTCAGGAGGGCATGGACCCACTTCATCTACAGAATTCAAAACATACCCTAAGGGATCTTCCAAAGTGAGCCGCGGTCGTATGCGGTCGTAGTCATTAGTTACTAAGTGTTACTACTCAATGACCTACAAGATGACACAGCAGTCGTAGTCCGGATGACACAGCGAACCACGGGCAACTAACCAGTGCCACGCTCATCCCAATTTATGAGATGACAGCTGAGAGCCTGCTTCTCTACTGGAGGAGATGGCATGCTGCGCACTGCATCCCTCAGAAACGACCAAACTGAATTGGACAAGACCTGCAAGGAAAGGCGTAAGTCCTCCCAAAAGCTTGGATCTATGATGATCTATCCAAATATTCAACTGTGGAACCAATGAACACATACGCACAAATGCCCTTTCAGTATTCTTCTTTGGTCATACACTGTCCTCGCACAATGATTCCAACACAAAAACATCATCCATTGCTGTGGCCGCGGCGACTTGTCGCTGATAGACACGCAAATATGAGATTCAGGACCTTGGATCTGTCCCGATCGAAGTCGCGTCAGAAAACCCGTGAAGCATCCGAATATAGAACCTCTTCGTGCTGGCTCAGCTGCCACAAATACGGATCCCTAGCTGGAATAATTACAAAAAAATCCAAGTACTAAGTCTTACTAAGTATATGCTGCTTAAGTGTTGCAACCTCAACTGCAAACTAGCCAAC